CGAGTTCAAGTCTAGCCTTATATACTACCTGTATGACCCTGGGCAAGTCACTTAACCCTGATTGTCTCAAAAAAAAGAAAGGAAAAGAAAAAAGAAATCAAATGACTTCCCCAAGAACAATAAGCATCTTTACTTCTACCAGTAAGTACTCTGCGATGCTGCCTTTAGCTGTGTGGGGTACAGTCTGCTGCTCTCATAGCCATAGCGTCATTTAATGTGAAGAAACCATCAATAGAGCTTCCTGAATTTGGTTTCCTTCAATGACACATTTAAACCTTGGTAGATGGATATGTTATCAGTCATTGATCCTCCCTGTCTACATCAGTAATTATTGTGAACACTCAAACTACATGAACATATGTAACCTTTTTGTCAGATTCCTTCAGAGTGCAGAGGAGGATTCAAGTACATTTTGGTGAATTCCTTTTTTGGCTTGTACTTGAACCCAGGAACCCTGGAAAAATGTATACATGGCTTTATTCTTTATATGGAGATTGACTCCCTATGCATCAAACTATTAAAGCAAGACACTTTTATTAGAACACATGTACTAACTGTTATCACCTTGGACAAGTCACTTAACTTTTGCCTTCCTCAGTTTCCTCTTCTGTAAAATGGGGGATAAGACCTTAGGGTTGTTATAAAGATTAAGTAAGATAATATTTAAATAAATAAACACATAAATAAATAAAAGATAATATTTATAAAGTGCTTCAAAAACCTTAAAGCACTATATAAATGCTATTTCTTATTATTATTATAACTAGAGGGGAAAAAACAACGCTTTTTTTAAAAAAAACTTCCAAAGAACTATAATAGCTGTTTACATAATAATTTAGGGTTTACAAAGTGCTTATAAATACATTTTAATGTAATGCCCCCAGCCATTCCCAGGTTTTATTAGTTCCATTTTACAAATGAGGAAACAGCTAAGAGAGGTTCAGAGACTCCCCTGTGGTCTCTTCTAAGTGTCAGAGCCAGGTTACAAGCCCAGACATTCCAGACTACAAGAACTAGAAAATCCTGAACAAATGTGAGCATTTCCATATATGAAGAAGGCCAGAAAAGGCATTAGATCAGACTGAACATATGACATGCCGTTTGTTTTAAGATAGATGTGCACACATACCCATATATTCACCAGGTAATGGCACCCACATTGTCCTGCCAGCCCCACACTCTCCAGGCTCCCCCTATAAAAACACCCAATCATTCAGCTGCTTCATCTCCTTTTGTCGTTCCCAGTCCTGTCGGCAGGTGTCACCAAGGCCACTCTTGTCCTGGTTTCTCCTCCAGCTTGTCAGCTCTGTATTGCTCTCGGCAGTGGCCTTGTAGCTGCTCTCCATCTTGGCTGTCCTCTTGTCTTTTGGTCACACATCGTTCCATTGAAATATTTACTGCCATAGAAAGCACGCCTTTAGAGTTTTCCCTGCCAGCATCAGTCCTCCCTCCACTTATCATAGTTTAATAATACGGTATCAGACAAGGGGCTTCCTCTCTCAGACAAACACTAGCCTCCCGAGATTTAGTGAGAAAATTCCTGTTTCTTCAACTTCAAGAACAGCCCTGCCATGAGCTTAGGTTTGCCAGTGATTACAACAGTGGATACTCTTCCTCATTCTGACAATCGACCCCAAATTGTCAGTAATCCATTGCCAGTTATCAGCCCCACCTAAGTCAGAGAGTACATGGGGAAGCCAGTAAACCAGGGGGTGGAGGTGAGGGGGCAGAACCTTCCAGGCATGAGGTTATAACGGTAATGCAAAACACAGGCACGGGCATGATGTATGGTTAGAGGACTGTGAATGGGCCGAGGTAGCTCGATATAGTATAGAGAGGAGGTTAAAGTGGAGGAAGGGACTAGGTTATCTTGTTGTTCATTCATTTCAGTCGAAGATGTAGGTACTATTATTATTCCCATTTTACTTTAAAAAAAATTTTTTTTTACTTTTTTAGGCAGTTGGGGCTAAATGACTTGCCCACGGTCACACAGCTAGTAAGTGTCAAGTGTTTGGTCTGAGGCTGGATTTGAACTCAGGTCCTTCTGACTCCAGGGCAAGTGCTCTATCCACTGTACCACCTAGCTGCCCCTAAAGGTTATTTTTCTTTCTTTCTCTTTTTTTTTTTCGGGGGGGGGGAGAGGCTAGGCAATGAGGTTAAGTGACTTGCCCAGGGTCACACAGCTAGTAAGTTTCAAATGTCTGAGGCTGGATTTGAACTCAGGTCCTCCTGACTTCAGGGCCAGCGCTCTATCCACTGCACCTGGCTGCCCCTCTGTAAAAGGGGATGATTAGTCTTGTTTAAAACGGTTGGTTGTTTTTTGGTGAGGCAATCAGAGTTAAGTGACTTGCCCAGGATCACACAGCTAGTAAGTTTCAAGTGAGGCCAGATTTGAACTCAGGTCCTCCTGACTCCAAGGCTAGAGCTCTATCTACCGCACCACCCAGCTGCCCTCCCATTTTACAAATGAGCAAAAGAGTCTGAGAGAGAGGGGTTAATACAGGGTAGCACAGCAAGTAAATGTCTGAGATATAATTTTTAAAAAGAAATTTTGTTTACTGTTTTATTTTCCTCCAATTACATGTAAAAAGTTTTCAACATTTGTTTTTAAAACTGAGTTCCAAATTCTCCCCCTCCTTCCTCACCCCCCTCATTGAACAGGCAAGCAGTTTGATATAGGTTATACATGTGTAGACATGCAAAACGTATTTTCATATTAGTCATGGTGTAAAAGAAAATGTAGACACCCCCCCCCAAAAAAAAAAGAAAAAAAGTTTAAAAAGCGTGCTTGATCGGTTCTTTGTCTGGAGATGGATAGCATTCTTCATCACAGTTCTCTCGGACCACTGTCATTCCCAGTGGATCATCCGGCAGTGTTGCTGTTAGTGTGTACAGTGCTCTGGTTCTGCTCACTTCACTTGGCATCAGTCCATGTCAGTCTTCCCAGGTTTTTCTGAAAGCATCCTGCTCATCAATTCTTAGAACACAATCACATAACACAGCTTGTTCAGCCGTTCCCCATTGGATGAGCATTCTCTTAATTTCCAGTTCTTTGCACCAGAAAAGAGCTGCTATAAATATTTTTGTTCATATTCCCTTTTTCTTTTCTTTTCTTTTTTTTTAATCTCTCGGGATACAGACCTAGTAGTGATATTGCTAGGTAACTGAGGTATAATTTGAACTCAGGCTTTCTTGGGTCCAAATCCAGCCCTCAATTCGCTGCGCCCCGAGCCTGCTAAAGCAGCCTTCCTCCTTGACAAGGATGATCCTTCCACCCTGTTTCACTGATCGTCCCCACTCTGGCGTATCTTCACCCTGTTCCTCTCCGTTGGGTCACCCCCCCCACGCCTGCAGACGTTCTCCAGTCTTCCCCCACTCCCTCACAAGCCATTGTCCAGGCTCTTGGTACCTTTACAGCTGGACTTTGAGAAGAGGAGACTCTTTGGGCTGCCACTCGCTCCTCAGCCCACGGCCTTAGTCCTCAGCACTGTGACCGCGCCAAGGTCTCTAGCAACACTTTAACACCGACGTCTTTTTTCGGGCCTTCTCCACCTTGATTACTCTCACCGTTGACTCCCTCGTGCTTGATCATTCGTCTTCACTCCCTTGACTCCCAGACGTTGCATTCTCCCGGTACTTTGACCCTTCTCCTCATCCGTCATCTTAACCACCTGTGCCATTCTCCCAGGTCCTGTCATTGATCTTTTTGTTCTTGTCTACACTTTCTTCCTCGATTTCATAAAGTATTTTATTCTGTGTATTTAAAAAGATTCTGAGAAGGGGTCTGCAGTCTTCACCAGACTGTCAGAGGGTCCATAACGTGAAAATGGTTCTGATCAGGTTCTAGCCTCTCCCCTTCACATACAACCTCAGCTACCACTTAACACCAACATTTACCTTCCTGATTCTTCCATCTCCGCCGACCTGTTGTTAAAATGAAGGAGTCACATTTTTGGCCCCCAGGCCCAAGCCCCAAACCCCTAAATGGTGAATCAGATTAAAGTGTAATTAGGAAATGTTGGACAAAAGAAATAAAAACACGCCACCACAGAGAAAGTGTGATTTGTGGTTTTCTAAGTCAGTATGCTGCCCACAGGGATACTTTCTGTTTGGGTTTGACACCTCTGGCCTGACAGGTAAAGTTTGCAGTCCTCAGCCCAGCATTCAGGGCCTCCCTGGCCTGGATCTAACCTTCCTGGATTCTAGCATGGCTCCACCCTGCTGCTGCCCTTCCAGTGTATTGGGGCTCCTACTGCCCCCTCCTCTGGGAGGTGGCCCTTGGCTATTTATGGAAGCCTTACTTTTCCTCTTCTTGCCCAGCTGCAACACTAGTTCCTCCTGGCAGGCCCACCCCCAGGCCTGTCCCTCCCTCCCAGACCTCTGCCTCTGGGACTGCTTCTCCTGTGCTGTTACTAACACTACATTGTGGGTGTTTGTGCCCATCCGAGCCCCTGGACTGGGGGACTTCGAATTTAGCGGTAAGAGGGAAAGACTCAAACATGAGCCCCTTCCAGAGGCCCAAAAAGGACACCAGGCTTGGAGGCCTACCTCAGTCACTAGCTCTAAGAACTTGAATATGTCCCCTCCCTAGGGATCAGTTTCCTCATCTGTAAGGTCGCTTCCAGCTCTAACATTCGATGAGCCAATGAAATCTAAGATAAACCTGCATTTTAAAATAAGGAAAAAGTGAGCATAACTTTGCTAATGAAAGAAAGCAAAACAATTTCTAAAAATGTTAGCAGTGATGTCGATGGCCTTTATTTGATGGATACCAAGAAATTAATAACCTTGTTTTGTGCTATAAATATAGTAGGACTAAAGCTAGGAAAGAGGTCACCAATACCTAGAACTTTGTTCAACTGTCAAAAAGCCCTTAACTACTTACTCTACACGTGGTAGGTGCTGTAGATATAAAAGGAAAAAGTAACAGTCCCTGCCCTCGGGGACTTATATTCTTCTGGAGCATGGAGGTACTTAGTATTGTCATTTCATCCATACAGATAAGTATAATACAAGGAAGGGGGTCATGAGAGCAAATGGGAGATCACAGCAAAGTGCTCCAGGAAAATTGAGGAGGCAGATTGAAAGCCTGTCAGCTCCAGAGGGTGTGGAAGGCTGTGTGGAAGAGATAATGTCTGAGCCCAGTCTCAAAGAGGATTCTGAAGGGCAGAGAGGAAGAAGGTGGGCACTGTAGGCATGGAAGACTGGCCGAGATTGGTACATCATGTTTGGGCCTGTTGTTTGGCTAGGAGTAGCCAAAAGGTAGGTTTTCTTAATTGGGGACTCTGGAAAAGAAGATAGGCATAAATCATGAAAATAACAAAAATCTATATCCCCTTTTTTCCCAAAGTGGCTCTTCTGAGAATAATACCTTCAGAAATTCAAGAAAGGAAACAAAAATGACTGTCATAAAAGACGCCAGCGCCCTCAAAATGTATGATTGCAGCCCACTGGAAGCGAGGGATAGTGAATGATTTAACAAATCCGATTTTTAATCACCGTGGAAGAGCACACAGAAAATTAGAAGTCATAAACGTGAAAAATGTGTGGAACTGTGGAATACTTATTATGACATAATGAAAAATGGAAGCTTCAAGAGATGGTATGGAAAAAACAGTAATTGGTCTCTTTACACTTAAAGGTAGCTTTAGGAAAAGGGTGATTGTTATCTTTTTTTTTTAAGGAAGAGGGAGGGAAAAGGAAAGAAAAAACAAGGCTACACACATACAAAAAAGAAAAGCATGAAAAAGATAGGGAGAAAGGATAGTGTGAGAGATACTAAGAAAAGAAAATATAAATAAAACTTATGTTTATATGCAGGTACATAAAACATTTTGCATACGTTGTCTTGTCCTTTCAATAACTCCTGAGAAGTTGGTGGTACAAATATAACATCTCAATACTGCAGAGAAGGAAACCAAGGTTCTGGGAGATTCCATAGCTTACTCAGAGCTAACACAAGTAGTATGTGGCAGACTTGGGAGTCCAGCCTTTTACCTCTTAGTCCGTGCCATGAAGAAAACAAAACAAAACATGATTGCGGCATCCTCTGGGGACCTAAAGTCATAGGTAGTTCAATTGAATTTGAATGGGTGGTGTTAAAGTTTGGAAGGAAATAATATCCCCAGGAAAAACCTCGTCTGTGCTGTCTGAGAGCTGGCTGGTGAATGGGGGACAAGCCCCCACCCAATGAATGCTAGCAGGTCATTAACACTTGGGGGAGCAGCTGAGGTGGCTCAAACTTAAGGGGCAGCCTGACACAGGCTGGGAGATCTGGCCTCCAAGGCAGGATGACCTGGGTTTAAGTCCCACTTGCTGACACCTACTGGCTGTGTGATCTTGGGCACCTCTCTGCCACTGTAAGATGCAAATCAGGGTGTGACCTGTGCTAGTGGAGGGAAACTTCTCACCTGGAAATGGGAGTAGGGAGAAAATGAGGGTATAAGAGCTCCATCCATTCATCAGAAAGAAGTCTCTAATGCCTGTTCCCCACCCAGGCCACATGCCAGGTGTTGGGGGTACAAGTACAAGGAATAAAACAGTCCCCTCTCACAAGAAGTTCACAGTCTGGGCAGCTAGGTGGTGCAGTGGATAGAGCACCAGACCTGGAGTCAGGACGTCCTGAGTTCAAATCTGGCCTCAGCGCAGATACTTGACACTTAACTAGCTGTGTGACCCTGGGCAAGTCACTTAACCCCTTTGCCTAGCCAAAAAAAGAAAAAAAGTTTACAGTCTAATGAGGCAGGGTGGGAAGAGGATAAGTAGATTGAATCAGTCAAACCTGGTAACTGACTAGGTGAGAGAATCAGCACTGACTCCCAGGGTCTCATCATGGGAGGCCAGGTGAGTGGTGGGGGTCTCAGTCACTGCTGCCTCTATTGCTTCCTACCTATGTGACCTTGGGCAGGGCCCCCTCTCAGGGCCGAGGTTCCCTTTTCTGTAAACTGGGGAATTGTACCAGATGGCCTCTTAGGCCACTGATCCTCAGAAGGATGTCTGATTTGGACATGCGGAGGTGGAGATGCTGGGCTCTTCCAGGCCATGTTGCCCCTTTGCAGTTGGATGTCAGGTCTGGAGATGGGTTTGGGGCCCATCTGTTGCTGCAGCTGCAGATCCCTTCTACCTCCCACTCTCTGGTGTCTCTTTTTGTGTCTCCCTATACATGTGTGTGGAGTTTCCCTGAGCAAGATCGTAAGCTTCCCGCGAGCAGGGCATTCTCACTCTGTCTTTGTAGCCCCAGGGCCTGGTGTGTGGTAGGTGCTTAGTAAATGTTTGTTGATTAATAAATCGCGATTAAATTAAATTCCGCAAACATTAAGTGTCTACTGTGTGTAAGATGTATTGTTGGGAGTGACTGAGATGCCGAGGGAGAGAATGTAGAGAGAAGAGGACAAAACGCTCCCCCATTCTGGACTCATTAGGGGAGCCCTGTGCCCCTCACCCTCCTTTCTCTAGGGATAGAAAAGCCGAAGCAAGTCAGGGTGGCATTGCCGAGTGATCCCCACCATCATCCTGGCTTGTTCTCCCAATACCAGTGGATGTGGATGTGGACACTGGAGTAACATGACCTGTGCGTCTAATCTGACAAGGAGACCTAAGGATAGACTTGGTGTGCAGTGGCCAGAGCGCCAGGCCTGGAGCCAGGACAACAGAAGTTCAAATATGGCCTCAGTCGCTTACTAGCTGTGTGATCCTGGCCAAGTCACTTCACTTCTGTTTGAAATGGGGATAGTAAGAGCACCTACCTCCCAGAGTTGTTGGGAGGCTAGAAAGAGATAACAATCATGAAGCACTTACCACTATGCCTGGCCCAGAATGGGCATGCTGCAAATGTTAGCTGGTATTTGCTGGTATGATCGCATGGCCCACTTCTCTGTCCTGAAGCAACCTTATTTTCAGACACTTAACAGATTTTTGGACTGAGCACCTGGTCCATGATGCCTTGGCCACAATAGATGCACAATCCTTTTTTTGCCCTGAACATTGATCCTAAGGTCATAGGCTTTAGAGCTGAAGGGGACCCCAGAGGCCATCTGGACAGTGGGGGCTCCTTGTCAGGTCCTCTGACTCCCACCCCAGGCCCTTCCTTCAGCATTACCCTACTTATGCTTCTTCGTCTTAGAAGATGACCAGCTGTGAGCTGAGTTTAGGACACATTTCCCTATAATTATGTAACATTTTGTTAATACTTTTATTTTGTTCTCTGGAACATTATTGTTCTCATTTTGTGTCTTTTCCCTAATTCTGTTAAATGCATGTTTTATTTAATGACAGTTAAAAAATCAGCAAGAGAAAGGTCACCAGTAAACAAGGCCTGGAATCCTTCCTTCCTTCCTTCCCCTTGAGCAAAATAGGGGTTGCTCTCTGAGGTCTGGGTTTCTTCCCCTCACCATGGAGAACCATCTGGTATTGCTGGTCCTTCCCATCCAGGAATGATAATGATTTGATCACTTTACATCACAATCTTCCTGTCGTGCGATGTTTAGAAGTGATTTTGGAAGGATGCGTACGTGGACATCTTACCAGCTTTTCAGTCCTCTTTATAAAGAGAAAAATTGCATAGTACAGACCTTTTAAGATTTGGTTGGGAAAACATTTCCTATCCGTTACCCCTTATTTTTTCCATCACCTCTCTGCTCTGACTTTTTTTTTTTTTCAAATCAAATAGAGGGAAGGGAAGGAAGCCCGTAAGTATTTAATGTATGTCCTGGTCACTGCTATCGAAGGAGAAAATAGGTCAGGATGATAGGATTGTAGATTTCAATCTGGAATCTTCAAGTCAAGGCCAATCCTTTCGTTTTACACTTAAGGAAACTGAGACCCAAACAGGTTAAGTGATTTGCCCAGGATCACGTAGCTAGTGAGTGTTTGAGACAGAATTTGAACCCAGCTTTTCCTGCCTCCCAAGTCCAAAACTCCATCTACCACTAGTCGTGGATGTGACCTAAAAGACCAAAGAAAGCCGTGGGCATTGGCTAGTCACTTTCTGGCCTTAGCTGTTTCTTATTGGACTGTGTACCAACATGGTGCCATGCTAACGAGTTGAAAAAAATAATCATTTGTAATGACTTGTAAGACTAAAGAAAATGTCCAAGCACCCTTATAATAATAATAGTTCCTACTTTATAATATGCTTTGTAGTTTTCAAAATCCTTTCCTCACAACAACCATATGATGTCAGTAATACAGTTACTGCATTATTACTGTTATAATCCCCATTTTCCGAACAGTGAACTGAGGCTCAGAGATGTGAACCCTTGGCTTGATGTCCTGTCTAGAATGGAAGAATGTCTTTGCCTTGGAAAGACTTAAGGCCTTCTGGTTCCAAATCCAGAGCTGTTTCCAGAAGCCAGAGCTCATACTGACTGGCCAGGGCTTTGACCCAGGTTCTTACATTGGGAAGGAGGGGGCAGTTAGCCCTATCTTGTTGAACCACAGGCTACCTGGCTTCCTTAGCCAGGTGGCTTGGCTACCATCACACCCAGGTTGAGCAGGGTGGGAATTGGGAGAGCTGGCCCCTTGACTTCTAAGCTCAGCCCAGTCTCCCCTTGGCCCCTTTTTACCTCTGCCTTTCCTTGCTACCATGCTCTCTGAAACCTTCTTCCATTGTAACAAACTCTTTTTTACCTTAAACGTACTCTAACATTCTTTCCATCTTGTGATGTTCACTGAAAATGGGCTCTCTTCTCAACACACGACATCTCCTGGTATCTTGGAGCAGGCTGCCTGTTCCTCCCCTCTTACCACTTAAGACTAGGGCCAGGAGGAGCTGGCCGGCTTGCTCCCTGATGCCATTTTGAGACCCTTCCTTCTGCTATCATGCTTCAGCATACAGTTCCCCCCTTTTGCAGTTCTCACCATTCGGCCAAGATCTTTGTTATTGTCCTCTAGAGACCTTGAGGTCACTCTTTCCCTCCCCAAAGTTCACCTTCTGCTTGACCTCAGGTCCAGCTTCTTCAAACACCCTGGTCTCACAATCACTCATCTCTTTTAACTCCCATGACCTTTGTCTTACTCCAGACACACCTGGGAGTGGTCTTCTTGGTCACCTAGGAGAGGACCTTGTCACTGGAGGAGTGGGATCGGAAGCCAGATCACCAGAGAAAGGAAGGAGCTGAAATGGGGGCAACGAATGCCAATTGGTTTTAAAGTGTTTGGTTTATGAAGGGAGGGGAGATATAGGAGGATAGCTTGAGGGGATGGCAGGGTCTTTTTCTAGAAGTCCACAGGCCTGCATTTATTAAGTGTTTCCTACATTCCAAGCACTGTGCTAAGCACTAGGGATATAAAGAAAAATTACAATCCCTGCCCTCAAGGAGCTTACATTCTAATGGAGGAGATAACACACATAGATAGTGTAGTGTAGATAGTGTAGACCTAAGGTCTCTTTCCTGGAAATGGGAAAGGCCTTCTGCCAACTGGCAGTTGAGCTAAGCCTTAAAGGAAGCCCCCCATTCTAAGAAGTGAAAGTGAAGAGCAGGATTCCGGATAGTCTGGGCCCGGGCACCACAATGAGGGACGAAGGCATTGTTGGGAGGAACAGATGGATTATAGCGTCTTCTGGGCCCTAAAACCGGAGTATAGGATTTGGAGCTTCAAGAGAACTCAGGACACATGTCCTGCTTGAGAATAGCATAGCAGGGGGTAGGTAGGGGGCGCAGTGGATAGAGCTCTAGCCCTGGAGTCAAGAGGACCTGAGTTCAAATCTGGCCTCAGCCACTTGATAGTAGCTGTGTAACCCTGGACAAGTCACTTAACCCTGATTGCCTCACCAAAAAGGAAAAAAAAAAATAAAGCAGTAGGCACTAAATACATATTTATTGGATGAACGAATGAAGAAATGAAGGAATGAATATCGGGGCTGAGGTGCCAGCAACTTCAGAGGTCTGCTCACAGCCCTCCTTTCCTGCCCTCTCCCCCACCAGACAGACAGACAGACAGACACACACACACACACACACACACACACACACACACACACACACACTAGCAGATCTCTGATCTAGACCACGTAGTCATTCTGTACGACTCTGGCTTTCAGTTTATTATGGGTAGTTTCGTAAGTGACCACATACCAGAGAAAGGACAAATTATCTTTAAGGTAGTTTGTTGTTTTTAAATACTGTAAAAACAAATCACTTCCTGTCTGTGAAAATGTCCAGAGAAATCCTGACAATTGTTTAGTATGGCAGTTGTGAAACCAAGGATCAGACTTTCCCTGGCACATTTTTTCCCCCTCCAGTCATTTAAAGAGTTTGGAGGAAGGATGTTTTTGTCTCATAGCTTTAAGCAAGTTTCAGTAAAGATATAAAGTCAGTGTAATTGGCCTTAGGTCAATATTGGCCAAAGGATTACTGGTACTTCTTTTTCTCCAACATCTTGGGGGTGTGGAGAAGAATTCCTGCTCGGTATAAAGTTTGCTCCTTCCTCTGTGTCATAGCCGAAGTTCAAGGTCCAGGTGCATCTCTAGACACCATCTGGCATACCATAGCCTTTTAATGGTATCATGTGAAAAACAACCCCAGACAGAAACTCCCAGATAGATACTGGGCACCTGATGGGGGAATTCCAGCGAGGTCACTCCCTCAGCTTCTTTGAAAAGAGGGAAAGAATGCTGTGGCTAAACATTAACCCATTTCTCTGAAGTAGATCCTGTGTGAGGAGTGAAGGTTTCATGTCTTATGCCAACTGAGGATGAAAGTGTCTTCCTTAGAGTGACTGGTGAGTGCCAGGCTCCCAGTTCTTATTTCAGAGCCTTCAAACTGTCCAGAATTTGCCATCTGTAAGCATGGCTTCCCACCTCCTGGACAGAATGCAGGCAGAGCCACACACAGAGCACAAAAAGAATTCTTAGCTCGAATTTGTGGTCAAAAAGCCTCTTATGTGTTCCCTTTGCATTGTGTTGTTCTGGGTCTGCCAGTATCAGATTAAACCAATACCATCCCTTCTCTTTCAGAGTATACAACTGCAAACAGCATAGGGGAGCTCCCAGCAGACAGAGAGCAGACACAATTGACCTTGCAAACATCAGAGAGCCCTAAGGTTGGTCAGTCAGTCAATAAACACTAATTGAGCACCTGCTGTATGAGATGGACGAAAGCATTGACACCAAGTAAACTTTGCTGCAAATGTGTTTTGTTTTGTTTTGCTTTTTGAGGGGGGATGGAAAGCACAGAATGAGTTTGGGGAGACAGAAGGAATCCTCCCTCCAAACTGGCTGGCAGCCCTCTGGGCCTGATTCTGTTCATCCAACAATTTCCTTGTTTTTCATTCACTGATTAACGTTTGTACATGTGTGCCTTCAGAAATCGTGTTTTATGGAGTTGAGCACTGATTTAAATTCTTATCCATCTGCCCTCCAAATCTCCTCTTCTGGTTGGTATTGGAAGAACCTGGGGTGTCTTATTGACAGATGCAGTAGGAAGGATGACGTTCTGTACCACGTGTCTGCCTAGACATCTTGTATCTCTCTCATGCCTTCGAATGGCTCTCCCTCGTGCCTCAGATGCCCACGGCCTTCACCTCTAGACCAGCCTTTCGATTTCTTCAAAACTGCCTTCCACATCACTACTGAAGCCTTTCCTGCCCCCCCCCAGGTGCTGCAGTCCTTCCCCCTACACAAAGTCACTTTGTGTTTATTTATTTATTTTGTTTATGTTCCATTGATAAAATTTAAACTCTATCCTTACTGTCTTGGGAACACAGTAGGTGTTTAATGTTTGTTAATTGATCGTTCCTTTGTAGACGTTCAATAGATATTTGTTTAATAAACAGATCAGGTCAAAATAAGGACCTTGAGGTCAGGGGCTGGGTTTTTTGTTTGTTTTTGTTTTCCTTTCTTTGTAACCCCAACATTTAGCGTAGTATTTGACAAATCGTTCTTTTGACTTGTCATTCATATTCTATATCCTGGCAAAGTAAAGTTTTCATGATGGTTGTGGAAAACCTTTCCTATAAACCCTTTTGTCGTTCAGTCATTTCAGCTGTGTTTGACGCTTCGTGACCCCCTGTGCCGTTTTCTTGGCAGATACTGGAGTGGTTTGCCATTTTCTTCACTATGAACTCTAAGGAGTAGTTCCCCCCCCCTTCCCTTCCACCCCCCTGGCTTTTAATGAGTGACTCATCCATCAATCCATAAGCATTGGTTAAGCACTTTTCTGTGCTGTTTGTCCCTTGTTTTCTCGAAGAAGACCAATAAAATCACAGAGTAGTGTCTCGACTTACACGCGAATTGAATTTAAGCGTGGCAGAGTTGTGCAAACTCAGCATCGTTTTCTAGTGTCATCAAAGTCCAGTGGCAGGACAGAAGTCAGGATGACTGTAGATGGCCTGGGATGCAGTGGATGACCTTGGTGTCATCCATGCCTGACCAAGCTCTGAGCACTCCATAGGGTCTGCTTTGGCTGCCTTCGTGGCCATTAGAACAAATTGTTGTCATTCTCTCTCTGCCAGGGGCAGTCTTCACTTGCTGGGGGGTCGTTATCCCGTTAACTCACTGATAGGTTTGAGGCTGTTGGTTACCCTCAGCCTGGTTTAGCCCATCTGCACACGTGGTCTACTTAGGTGTGACGGCCGCACATGCTACCACTTCTGAAGACACAGGGTGAGAGTAGATGAGCGTCCCTGAAAAGAGCATGGCAAGCCCTCACACCAGAGGTGCTGGTCCTCCCTGCACACCCATACACCCCTATCTGTGCCAGGCACTATATTAAGCACTGGGGATACAAAGAAAAAGTGGAAACATTATCTGCCCTCAGGAAGCTTCCATTCTAAGGCGGGGGGGGCGAGGGGGGAGATACACGCACACCAACAGGTAAACACAAAGCGTATAGAAGAGAACCAAGAAGGATGAGGTGGGGGAGGTAGCAGCGAAGAGGAAAATACCCTCCTTCTTGAGTAGAGTCTTGAAGGTAGACAACTGTATTCCCACCCCGGGGGACAGCCAGGGCAGACCTGGAAGTAGCGGGTGGCAGGGTGCTGGTAGGAAACAAGCAGAAGGCCAGTTTGGACAAAGTGCTGGTGTGGGAGAAAGCTGGAGACGGAGACTGCGCCAGGATGGGAAGGACACTCAGTGTCAGTGACCCTAAATGGACCCTAAATGTCCTCACCCCGAAGGCCGGCACAAGATTGTGCTCCTTTCGTTTTTTATCTTCGTGGCCTTAGATTTGGAAGGGGCCGCAGAAGCCACCTAATCTAACTGCAGCCTGAGTTAAGAATCCCTTCTCCAGCATCCTCCAATCAGCCTCTTGTTGAAAACCTTCAGGAAGCATAAGCTTCGGACTGCCGAAATCCCCATTACACATTGGTATAGCTCCAGCTGTTAGCAAGTCTTTCCTTAACTCACTGTGAAATCTGCCTTCCAGTGATTTCCACCCACTGGTGCCTGTTCTGCCTTTTGGGGCCAAGCAGAGCAAACCTTCAAATGTTTGAGTGGTCATCCTGCCGCCCCTAAGTCTTCTCTTCCCCAGGCTCCTTCATTTCCTCCTCCTATGATATGCCTTGGAGTCCCCTTCCCCATTCAGTCTGCCTTCCTCTGATCACAGACCAGCTTATAAATACCTTTGTTCAGAGGTGGACCCCAGAAGACAACGAACACATTTGTGGTCCAAGCAGAGCAAAGAGGAACAGGGCGCTTGCCTCTCATCTTCTGGATCGCGTATGTCTCTAGGCAGCCTAAGATTTCTTGGACTCCTGGGGCTACCATACAATTCAGTGCTGGCTTATATTGAGCTGGCAGTCTACTAAAATTCCTTTGCTGTCCTTTTTCCCCCTTACTAAAATGGAGATGTTCACTTGAGTGATGGAGGATGTTTGTTTTGCTGTCTAAACGAAAATTAACTAAATGAAAACTCATCTGTAGTGAATTAGACCTTTTTTTTTTTACATCTCCCATACAACTAAGTATAATAAGCACTTGTAATCCCAGGAGATTTAATTTTAATTTCAATATTAGTAAATCAACTCATAGATTGAAGAAAGAAACCATGTTGAAGCTGAAGGATCTCAGCTTGGAGGAGACTATTGTCAGCGCAGCATCAGTTTGGGGCCCCTGTTAAGCTCCAGGGAGTTTTCTTTACGCACTTTTAATCAGTCTCTTAAATTGTATTTATCTTAGCACAGCCCTTCAATTCAAAGAAAATGACCAGTCTTCCCTTGGCATTGTGTAAATTGCATCTTGAAGACATCCGTGTTGACTGAGATGTCCTGGCTCTCCAAATTCATTCATTTTAACAAGCATTTATTAGGCATCTATTGTGTACTCCTACTGTGTATACCTTTTGAGTTGCTGGAGACACAAAGACAAAAACAAAACAGCCCCATCCCTCAAGGAGCTTAGTCTGTGGGGGAAACAAGAGCTAAGTCAAAGCATACCCAAATGAAACACAGAGTACTTTGGGGGATGGGGGAAGGAGATCAGGAGAGAGTTTGTATAACGTTTGAGCTGAGACCTAAAGATTGTGTAAAGGAAAGTAGAAAGACTGGTGTGTGTGTGTGTGTGTGTGTGTGTGTGTGTGTGTGTGTGTGTGTGTGTTGCGTGTAAGCTGTGATTGGAGCAGTTTCACAAATGGGTTTGGGAAGAGGCAGGGAAATTCTCTGCTCATGTCCCAGTTAGGTCACAAATGTGCCAAGGACTGAAAAAGGCTGAGAAATGCTCTAGCAGTCTACGATACCCCCAAAGAGATAGTGCAGTACAGTGAGAACAATGGGTTTGGAATCAGAGGTTTTGGATTCAAATCCTACCACTTACTACCCATGTGACCTTGGGCAAGTCCATCTTCTCCAGGCCTCAACTTCTCTACATGTAAAAGGAGAGAGTTGGATCAAATGCCTTCTGAGGTTGTCTCCAGCTCCACATCTATGATCCTGGCTCATTCCATGTGTCCATTCAGTTGTCTGGTCTTGTTTATGTGGCCGCAGTGTCCCTCTCTCCCATACTTCACCTCTCTTCCATTAAATAGCCACCCTCTAGTCTGTCCTCCCCAAATTGCCAAAGGGATCTTCCTAAAGCTCAGGTCTGACCCTGTTACCACCCCCCACACCCATAAGATCCAATATGCCCTCCTCTCTTTAGCATTCAAAACTCTTCCCAACCAGCCTTTCTTTCCAGGCTTCTTCTCTATGCACTTACAAGGCTGCTCCTTATACACAATACAACCTCTCTCCTCTTTGAGTCTTAGCACTGGCTTTACCCCATGCCTGGAATGCTTGGATTCCTCATTTCCCCTTCTAGGAGCCTCAGTTTCCTTCAAGACTCAGCTCCCCCCCCCCATCCATCTGCTCTCTGTCCCATAGATGTAAGCCCCCTTGAAGGCAGGTTTTTTCTTTTCTATTTTTCTTAGGGGACTTGCCCAGGGTCACACGGCTAGTAAGTGTCAAGTGTCTGAGGCCAGGTTTGAACTTGGGTCCTCCTGACTCCAGGCGAGGGCTTTATCTACTGCACCACCTAGCTGCTCTAAGTTTTTCTCATTTGTTCTTATATCCCCAGTGCCTAGGACCCCTTAGCACCCTAATACATAGAAAGTGCTTAATAAACACTTGTTGATCGATTGTTTTAGCATGTAAAACTGGATAAAAATGGGAATTAAAATGTTAGATTCTCAGGACAGACATTGTAGGATATTAAAGCAGGAAGGAACTTTGGAAGATCATCTGGTTAGACGGTCACAGGGGCTGGTTATCTGGTCAGGCCCCTCATTTTGTGGGGAGGAGCTAAAGCCCAAGAGAAACCTTTCCCAGTCATGGCTTTATAGTGGCAGACACAGGACTAGCCTGATTCCAGACCAGCATTCTTCCCACTCTGCCATGTTGTCTTTCAGTTAGCGGGCTGTGAAGGCCCCTGCTAAGCTTAGCATCTTGTTGGGCCACTTCCTTCTCAGAGGCCCTTTGCCCTGGCACAGGGGAAAAATTCATTAGCGTTGGAATCAGGGGATCTGGACTTCCTACCTGTGTGGCCTTGGACAAGTGACTTAACCTCTCTATGTCTCTGGCAGTTTGAAAATGTCAGAATTCTGAGTCAGTGGCAGTGGGGGAAAGTAGAGACC